TAGTCGGTTTCAATTTAGTTTGCTATCAGTTCGTTCGTGTGTGTGTGTGTAATTTCTATGCATGGACAGAAGCATCCAGGCGGGTGGGCAGAGCCTCCTGCCGCCACCGCTACTGCTTCGCCTGATTGGGGCGAACCGGTAGCAACCCACCACTGATATATACTATTTTAAACAGTGCTAGTGTTGTACAGTGATTTCTGACCATCATATTCTAGAATGTCAACTTATCTATCATTCTAATAGCTACTTTCTAATACATACATAGTATCTCTTTCCATGTCCACCTAACATGATTCTTTCGCATTCCAACTTCTACCTCGTCTTTCTAACCATTGATATAACCTATTCCATGTAGCCTAGTATTCTGTATCTCCTTTATCTTTTATGTTTAGCATTAGTCTGTCCATTTCCGCACAGAGTAGTATCTTCCTTATCGTCTCCTCTTCTGAAGGGGTGTTTTTGCTCTTCTACTGCTGCACATACACAATTCTTGCTGCGTTCAAGATGTGTAATATTAGGTATATTGTCCCTTTATCATAACCATCTGATATAATGCTTAATAGAAATAATTCAGGCTTAAACTCTTGTCTGGTCAATTTTTCTAACCACATATGAATTTGTATCCAAAATTTCCTTGCCTTTATACAGGTCCACCACATGTGAGAATATGTGCCAGGTATTTGTTTACATTTCCAACAGTTTGGGGACATATTGCTAAACATTTTGGCCAATCGTGCCGGGGGCAGATGCCACCTATAAAACATTTTATAGAGATTTTCCATGTATGATGTGGCCATTGTCAATTTCTGATTTCTCTCCCAAAACTTTTGCCATTTATCCAAATCTATATTATATATTATATATTATATAATATATATATTATATATATAATATATAATATATATATATTATATATAATTGTGATTGTAAATTGAAGATTTCCTGCATATAGAAAGCCAAGAGATGAAAGTACTTCAATGCTCAAAGGGTTGTTACCTTAAAGTAGGAAAATTCTATATTCCACAGGTATCCCCCTGTAGTCCTGTCAATCACAACATAAACATTATCAAAAGAAAGAGAAACTTGCGTTGTTGTGTGTACTTCTAAAAATGGTTTCACTCTCCTGTTAGTTTAATCTGAGTTCCTTGTATAGCTGTTCTTTCCCATTGCAAATGTCTTGTTTTGCAGACTGTACTTTTGTCACTGATATGTCAATACGTTTGCATTTTTTCTTTCCAGGAAGGCAATTAGCACATTTTTAAGAATATGTAAATAGATACATACATAAACAATAGCTTCATGTACTCCCATTAAGCTGCCAGATGTTCTAAGAATGGACACCACCAATCACTTATTTAATAAGCAGGAAAGGAAATTCAAGTTTACGCGCCGGAAATGGATAGTTCCTGCCACAAAAGCTGACAGTATTATCATTTTTATCCCTGCTGCCTGGGGGGCTACTAATCCATTATTATAGACTGTGTGTTCAATATGCAGAGAAAGTGTGAATAAATTCAGCTTGCTGCAATTGACTTCTGTGGTTTCTTTTCAAATGTCTATATTTTCTATTCTTATTTTTTTTTAAAAAAATGAGATTGTGGGCAAACCTGATGGAAGGATCAGTGGCGGGATTCAAAAATGTTTACTACTGGTTCTGTGGGCATGGCTTGGTGGATGTGGTGTGGCTTGGTGGACGTGGCTTGGTAGACGTGGCTTGGTGGGCATGGCAGGGGAAGGATAGTGTAAAATCTCCATTCCCTCCCCACTCCAGGGGAAGGTTACTGCAAAATCCCCATTTCCTCCTGATCAGCTGGGACTCAGGAAGCAGGGAATAGATGGGGGTGAGGCCAGTCAGAGGTAGTATTTACCAGTTCTTCGAACTACTCAAAATTTCCGCTACTGGTTCTCCAGAACTGGTCAGAATCTGCTGAACACCACCTCTGGGAAGGATGCTGGTTTTCCCTCTCTAAGTTTCAGACCCCAAACCAGAGTTGGGTGCTCTAAGGAAATTCAAATGATGTCATCAAGTAGCAGGCATCTCTGCCCAGTTTGTGCAAAAGTAACCTTCCAAGCCATCATGTAAAGACTGTTTCTGATCTCATAGCCAGTAGACCACATGTGGCCTTCCAAGTCATTTACTGATCCCTAACAATATTTTGCAGGTTTTAAGGGTGTTGCTCAGCATGGCTGGAGTATTGAACTTTGGGCAAAAAAGAGAATGGGCCATGGCATGTCCAAGTAAAATCAGCAACTTGGTGACAGCAAATAGAGATCCCTCACACAGAGCATTGACTGAATACAGCTCCCATTCTTCATCTAGATGAGCTTTAGAATGGGGAAAACCAATGTTTCCATCCTGTTTGTGAGTCTCTATATGAGGCATTTCATATTTAAGCTAAAAATCAGAATCTAGTGATTTAAGTCCCATGATTCACCCATTTAAGCCACCCAAATTCCCATGGTTTCAGCTACTCTTAGATGCTTTAAGACAGCAGTCACCAACTGGTGGTCCATGAGAAAATTTTGGTGGTCTGCAGAAAAATTATTTGCATGTTTTATATTGCACTAAATCAGGAGTCTTCAAACTATGGCCCCTGGGATGGATACATGCAATAAACATTTGTGTTGCTGCAGAGAGTCTCCCCCTTCTGTGTCTTTTTGTGTGGGTTGGAGGGGGGCAGAAATTCTGAGTTGGGGTCTGCCTCAGCCTCCTGGTGTGGGGATTTGGGCAAAGGCTGGAGAGAAGTGCCGCTGGTGGCAAAGAGCCGGAGGGCCTTGTTCCAGTGGGACTGCTTCATGGCCTGGAACTGGCTGACCATCTCAGCCCTCTGAGCCTCCAGGCGCCGATACCTGGCCTTACACTCCCGCAGGTCTTCCCTCTGCTTATGCCTATGCTCGTAGTCCTCAGTGAGGTTCTTCTGTTGAGCCTCCTTCTTGGTCAGATCCAATTTGAACTGAGCCAGATGTTATGCCATCTCTTTCTCATGGTGGCTGCTTAGCTCCAACAACTGCTTCCTGTTGGGGTCCTAAGAACCAGGGCGGGCAGGTTAGGAGTGGCTGGGAGGGGAGGGGCAAGTAGAGGCTGGCAAGGCGCCCCTTGATATGAGTGACATTGAGTTGGCCATGCCTACCCAGTCACATGATCACCTAGCCACGCCCATCCAGCCGGTCATTAGGTAGATCATATTAGTGATCCGCAGGATTTAAACTTATGAATTTAGTGGTTCCTGAAGTCTGAAAGGTTGGTGACCCCTGCTTTAAGAGACCTGTTTTATCCATTAAAATCTTCCCTGGCAAGACTGAAAGTAAATAGTATTTGCCACCCTGCACAGTATGGCATTCATCCAGAACTAAGTAGGCCATGCTTTGGTTGTGTGTTGTTAGGAAGGCATTGCTCTTCTGTCCTAATGGAAATCACTAATAGAAACATTGGCTTGGTAATAAGGACAACAACAATATTCATAGTTCCTTGATATCCGAAATATCTTTCCTTAGGTGAAGAGGGACAAAGACTGCCAGAGGCAATTATCTGATTGAATTAAACATAGATGGAATCTAAAACTGAAGCATCTTTAAAGACTAACGGTTGATAATTAAAGATCAAATGCAGGATAGTTTTGTGTGTGTGTATGCACCCTGTTTTTAGGGAACTGTTTACCCATGCTCATCTATAGTGCAAATAAATATATTCTGAAGGCATTCATTCACTTTTATTTTTTTTATTTTTTTTCCCCTTCCTTTTGTCTCCCTTCCTGCCTGGGGCTGCCCGAAGCAAAGTAGCTCATCCTGCTGTGCAGGAGAGCCAGATGTGAAGAGCAGTAAAGTCAAACTACATAATTAATTGTGAATTTAGAAGGTTTCAGAACTGAAATGAAAAGATTTGGGTAGGGTCAGACTATTAGCGGCTGTTATGTTTAACACTGGTTTCTACTTCTGGAATCCTTACTAGTATGCCTTGAAATCCATTTTCCAGGGACAAGAGTGGAAGCAGGCAATTGCACTCCTTTCTGAGTTGAGGGGGTTTATCAGGTGCAAGAGAAACATAGCTCTCATACATCCCGAGCCATAGAATGACGCAGTGTTGGGTAGGATAGTCACTTTGCCACTGAGCATGCAGTTTCTGGAGAGACATCCATGAAGCAGTGAAGAGGACATCTACCTAGACATTCAGATAAGCTAAATCAACTGGCAGTTAATTGTTGTGGCCCGCCGGCAGCCAACAGACCTGGCAGCAGTCAGACAGTGAGGAGGTTGGCGAGGAATGTGGGCCAGTCCTGGGGGCTGGGGAAAGCTCGGACGAGGGCTCTGCATTGGAGGCAGAGAGGAAGATAGACAGCAGTGAGGCAGAGGAACAGCTGGAGCCCATTCCCAGTGTGCACATGTGCAGAGCTGCCAGAAGAGAACAACAACTCAGAAAGAAGGGTCGACTCAGGAGTAAAGCCACACCTTGGAGGTGATTGACCCTTCCCATAGGAAATAAAAGAGGAGTAAACAGGAAGGGGGCTTTTGTAGGAAACAATTTGTTCGTTCCATGACTCTGAGAGACTCTGTGCCAAATTTGGCCTTGTATTGCGGTTGGAAACAAGTTACGTAGCAGCTTGCCAAGCAAGATAAGGTGTGTTGAGAAATATTCCTTTGAAAAACTGTTTGGACAAACCTTGCTGACTGTGAATGAACGTAATTCACAGTCGTGTAAATAAAAGGGGTTTAGCCGGGACCAATTCCTGCCTCCTGCTTGTTAAGGGAGCCTAGGTCAGAACATTTTTGAGGCGAGCGATCCCCAAATTTTATATATATTAAATATGTTAAACTAGATAAGCCAGCGGCCACATCCAGATAGGTTCTTCTTTTGTTACTGCATTTTAAATATTACCTTTGAATGAAGATGGTTTCAAGAAAATGAGCCTCAATATTAAAATCCAGCTTTGGTCAGATGGTATGAAGTTCTCACTTCCTTTTTTTAATGACATTTTCTTTATTCTTTCTTTTTCTTTCCTCAGCTATCATCAAAACGGCTCTTTCAAACATGGACCGGGAAGCCAAAGAGGAATATACCGTGGTCATCCAAGCAAAGGATATGGGTGGACACATGGGTGGACTCTCTGGAACCACCACAGTGACTATTACTTTGACTGATGTCAACGACAATGCTCCAAAGTTTGCACAAAGTAAGTGACATTTCTGATGCATCCACTTCATAATAATCAGGCATCAGGCCAAGAAAGACAATAATTGGATACAGATATCATTGGAAGGAACTAAGTGCTGGTGGCCTTCTACCGCTGCATCATAGAGAGTATCTTAACTTCCTGCACCTGTGTATGGTTTGCCAACTGCACAGTGGCAGATAGGACAGCACTCCAGAGTGCTCCAGAGGGTCAACGTCATTGAGATTCGAACTTACAGTAATTGCAGACAGCTGGTGTTAATCACAATGCTATCAGTCTGCTGAGCCACCAGGCCCTTTTTATTTCGTTCTATTATGTGCAATGCCAATAAAGTAAACTATAAACTATAAAGTGCCTTGTACGGTTTTATCTTGGCACACTGTGTGAATCTAATCACTGTGATATGCAATGAGCGGCATGTTCTATAAGGTGTAGCCAGCCATTGTATTTACTCCATAAATAACCATAGTGTGTGATTTATAAAGTTTGCTAATTGCATAAAATAGAACAGTAGAACAGTGGAGTGCTGTAGGTATTAGACTAAGGGTGAAGCGACTATGATGGTGTGTGGGAATGACCTTGGGGGAAGAGCCTAGGAGCCTGGATAGCTCTGCAGACAAGGCACTGTAATTTAACACCAGCTATCTGCAATTAAGTTCGAATCTTGCCAGGCTCAAGGCTGACTCAGCCTTCCATCCTTTCTAAGGTAGGTAAATTGAGGACCCAGTTTGTGGGGGCAATAAGCTGACTTTGTATAAATATACAAAAGTATGAAGGCTGTTGCTTAACGCATTGTAAGCCGCCCTGAGTCTCCGGAGAAAGGCGGCATATAAATCAAATTAAAAAAAAAAAAAAAGAGGAGGAAGATCCACAGCCAGGGCAATAGCAATAGCACTTAGACTTACTGTATATACTGCTTCACAGGGCTTTACAGCCTTTTCTAAGCGGTTTGCAGAGTCAGCATATTGCCTCCAACAATCTGGGTCCACATTTTACCCACCTCGGAAGGATGGAAGGCTGAGTCAATCTTTGATCTGGTGAGACTCAAAGTGCCAAACTGCTGGCAGTCAGCAGAATTTGCTCTGCAGTACTGCATTTTAACCACTGAGCATCCATGCCTCAATGATCTGATACTTCAGACCCCAGGTAGGAGAAAAACATGGGGTGCATTTCAGAAGAGACCCTCCCTAGTTTTCCAGAGACTAAAAAGAGAGGAGGGGACCTTCAGTTTTGCAAGATTCTGTTGAATGTAACCTTACAATAAACCTAGTGCATCTAGTCCTGGATGAGCATCTTTTTGGACTACCTCAAAGGCCTAACAGAGACCCATATACCAGAAGTGGGATTCAAATCCCGTCACTACTGGTTTCTTGGGGGTGCTTGCGCACTCATGCGTGCACATAACTCTTCTGTGCATGTGCAGAGACATCCGGGTAGGTGAGCGGAGCCTCCCACCCCCGCCACTACCTGTTTACCCGATCCGGGGCGAACCAGTAGCAACTCACCACTGCCATATACCCTTTGAGCATGGAGGTTAGTTGTGTAACCTCAGACTAGTCACTCCCTCTCAGCCCAAATAAGTGTCAGGTTATTGAACACCCAAGATGCAGAACAAAAACAAACCCACTGATCATATCAAAAGGATCACCCTTTTATTGTGAGACTTTTAGGCATGTTCAAAGCAATTAGAGCTCGCAACCAAGCAGGTTGATACGACTATCTGGAATATGACTATTTTGGAGGAACAGGAAAGAGGGGGGCGGGGGAATGGTTGCGTAATTCAGAATATCAACAATCCAGAGATGTTGATCTCTTTTTGTCTTCTCGTTGCCTTTCTTTCATTTCTCCTCCCAGTCTAAGGGCAAAGAAATTGGGTGAAAGATTTGTCCAGTTGATAAGCAAAAGAAAGTCACACCTGTAAAAGCCTGATAGAACCTTTTTTTTATTGTAAGAATCTTTAAAACACATTTTTTTCCCCTGCTGGAAGGAAGGAAGAAATCTCTGCCTGGCACTCATCAGACATCCAATCTCATTGTTCTTCAAACAGTTTGTCTTTTTGACCTTTTTGTACTTAAGTCTCCCCTTAAAATGCTTATTATAAACACAGGGACTTGTTTTATATTGTGTTGCCAACAATCTCTGGATGACTGTGGGTTTACTGATCCCTGCAGCTGTTTAAATTTAAATTTGACCTGTGTAAAGGAGAAGGGTGGATGAGTATTGATTTGAAGTCAGGTCACCCTATTCCAACAAGTTATCCTATCGAGATGCCTACTTCAAACAGGCATTTTCCGTGTCTGACATACAGAGAATAAATATTGATATGTCAGGTTCATATATAACAGCATTGAGACTGAGTAATGTCACACAGCTTCTAGGGTCATGGCTTGAATTAATGAGAAGTTCAAAAATATGAGCTCTACAATCCATAAGGAATATAGATAGATAGATAGATAGATAGATAGATAGATAGATAGATAGATAGACAGACAGACAGACAGACAGACAGACAGACAGACAGACAGACATATAGATATAGATATAGATATAGATATAGATATAGATATAGATATAGATATAGATATAGATATAGATATAGATAGATATATGTCTTCTTAAGTTTTCGCGGGTGTGTATATGCAAAAAATTAAAATCTCGGGTGTTTTCCCGCATCATGTTAAATAAGTTAGTTAAAATGTTTAAAATTCTGATTAAAATCCTAGCTTAAAATCTTCCAAATATATATCTATATATCTATATCTATATCTATATCTATCTATATCTCTATATCTATATCTATCTATATCTGTATCTGTATCTGTATCTGTATCTGTATCTGTATCTGTATCTGTATCTATATCTATATCTATATCTATATCTATATCTATATCTATATCTATCTATCTATCTATCTATCTATCTATCTATCTATCTATCTACATACATACATACATACATACATACATACATACATATGTAGGTCTTTGGTTATTCGGGTTTTCTCCCGCATAAAATTGGAGGTTTCTTGGCAACGTAACGTTGCCAAGAAACCTCCAATTTTACGGGGGAGAAAACCCGAATAACTAAAGACCTACATACAAACACCCGCGAAAACCTCAGAAAATATATATCTGTTTATAATATTGATATCCATAGCCTCCTTTTCCCCTTTCCCTGCATTTCTCCTTTTCTTTATCTATTTCTTAGCCTTGTGTTATCTCCAGTGCTTTCAAAGCCCTCTTTAGATTAGTGTTATGTTAGAGTCAATGAGTGACATGTCTAAAAAGATACGTAGCGTGGTTGTTAAAAGCAAGCAATCGACCAATGCATAATTGGAGATAAAATCTGGAAAAAATAGTTCTAGTTCTAGTTAATTGCTGATCTTAAATTCAAAATCCATATTTGGTGCTATGCTTTGCTGATCTATCCTATGGTGCTTTCTGAGTGTTATAATAAGGGTTGGTTTTATCAGACATAGGTGTATTCTGCTAGAATTTTCTTATAAGCATCCATTACTCTTAGCTGTTTTCCCCTTTCATTTATTATAACCCGTCTATGAAAGGGAAGCAGAATAATTGGGGCGGGGGGGAGAGGCAGATTTTGCATTTGCCCAACAAACTTAACCAGGTAAGTAAATCCTGGAGCAGGTACGTTCACACATGTTAAACTAGTTAATGCTAACCTTAATTTTTATCTGTATCTTGGTGATTTTATTTGGTTAGTTTACAGTCAGTGTATTTTGTGCAAGCAGAATATTCACCAGTTCAGTCAGCATCTGCAAACACAACTGGCCACCCCTAAATCTCAGTCATTCCCTCAGCATTTTTTTCTGTATAATAGCTGCTCATTGTGTTACAATTTATATATTGGTTGCTGTTTTATATTGCATTATGTATGTATATATGTATGTATGTATGTATGTTTGTTTGTATGACTCCCCATCTAAAAAAAACTCTGGTTAGCTTATAAGAACAATCAGTCATAGAACAACAATAGAACAGAACAGAACAGAACAGAACAGAATTTTATTGGCCAGGTATGATTGGACACACAAGGAATTTGTCTTGGTGCATATGCTCTCAGTATCTCTTCAAAAGAAAAGATACGTTTGTCAAAAATCATAAGGTACAACACTTAATGATAGTCATAGGGTACAGATAAGCAATCAAATCATATTAGAAAACAGTCAATATAAATCATAAGGATACAAGCAACAAAGTTACAGTGGAAGGAGATGGAGCTGAAATCAGAAAGCTGAATGATGAATCGCTTATGATATTCTTTCAATATCTCTCAGTTGTTGAACCATTTCTAGATGAACAAGAAAAAAATATAAATCAACAATAGGAATTAGAGCCAATCTACAAACCTAGGAATTCACCTACTTCAACAGGCAGCTAATGTTCATTTCTTCCCTAAAAAGTGAAAAGAATAAAGATTTCATTATAAACTGCTACACATAAATGATGTGTTATATGTTAGCTAAAGCTAGAGTAATTATAAAATGCTCCTCATTCAATAGTTACACTGGATAAACCAGCCCTATACATAATACTGGTTGAGTAGTGAGCATTGAATCTATCATATTACATTGCCCCTCAAACCTTTTAAAACAAGACTGAGCCACATTAAAAGTCACACTCAGATTGTGATAAATTACAATCTGCTTCCCCCAGGAAGTGTTGGTGCCATCAGTTAACTGCTATGGCTGTAATCCGTTTGCTGCTCATTGTTTTAATCTAATTGGATATTTTATGGAATAAAAATTAACTCAGCACACGTTGGCTTCAAATCTTTGGGCAGTCTGAAACAGTCTCTAGTTTTGTGTTTGATTTTACAGGAAATTGAATCTAACTATATTAGCCATCAGGAGAGATTAAAAGCAGCAGCAACTCTATATATTTGCCAACAGAACTTTTATGGTTTTCACGAAAATGAGAGTAATATTGTGGTTATTGTCTTGGTCTAGGGCGAGATTCAGGTTTGAATCCTCACTCAGT